CAAGAATTTTTCTCAATTTTCCTCCGCAAAAATCAAATCTCCACGCAAACGCAAGAGAATAGTACCGGGAAATTGTCGAATTCAAATGTAAAAAGCAAGAAGATTACGTAACTGGAAAAACACCTTTGAGGTTCTCCCCATTTTCTTCCTTTTTATAGGTGATATTCCCGGGAAGTTTTCCTGCTTTGGTGAGTCAGTGCAAAAGTCAGGAATTAGAAAAATGACAATTAAGATCTTTTCTTGGCTACGTGTCACGTGCATAATTAACAGAAAGGAAACTGAAAATTGCATAAATTGGTCCCCTACCATTGTCAAAGTAGCAAACTAGTCCCTAACATTTAAAAAAGACAAAGTTAATCCTCAACCTTTTGTTATAATCGCCAAATTGGTATTCAATAAAAGAAACCGTACAATTTTTTGTAATATTGTCACAATCCTCATAAAATATAGGGACAAAACAACAAAGTTACACATGTCAGAAACGTGTGCCAATATAACAAGAATTTAAATGTTCATTGTCATTGAAAATTAAGGATGTGGTCGGTAGAGATTAAAATCAGATTAAAATTGAAAAACTAGCAATTATTGTTGACTTTTATTAGACGAGTGAAACCCAATAACGACTATATTTTCAATTTTAATTGAATTTTAAGCCCTGCCAAACATACTCTAATTGAACAATTTAGAGGTGGACATTTTTCATTGGACACACCTGGGGACCAATCTAGAATGAAAATGAACCGGCCGATGCTTACCAATTAGTTTCGATCCAATTCAAGATTTTTTAATAAAGAATTGAAATTTTCATTTGTCTGATGCATGCCCTAACGATAATAGACATTTGGCATCGTTGTTATCTACTTCTATTGATAACAAATTCTTGTCTTTGTCCTTATTTGAGGGCTGTTTGTTGTCGATTAGTAGACATGATAAACGAATAGCATTTTGACATTTTACAATTAATCTTATCTGATTTTTCCGCATGTTTTATGTTTGGTGTTTTTCTCCCCAAACAATGAAATAATGTTATTTGGACTTACTCGCAAGTACTTGTACTTCCCATGTCCCCCACTGTACTTTGTAAAAGGAAAAAAAAAAATCAAGGCTACAATAAGAAGTCTCTATCCTTTCAAAAAAGGGAAAATTTACATTAGATTATTTGTTTTAAATGAATTGCTTTATTTAAGCAAACCCAATAAATTTCATTGAGGCAAATCACTCTACACCACACGAGATATGAAACGGAATACAATCGATCCAGTCGGTAATAATCGAATTTAATGTAGCAGGAGATGCAAGCGAGTGAACCACTTTACTCCAATGTCCAGGAATATAACAATAATCACAATTTACATCACTAAGTAAAACTACAGTATTAGCGATAATAGAAGCATTGAGTGTAAGATCAATATTTGAAAGCAAACATTGAATAACTCGAAGCAGGGGCGGATGCAGAATTTTAACGTTGGGGGCACAATCGATCTTACAAAGAAGTTGGGAAAAATTTTTCAATCGAAAATTTACGTCCAAAAAAATCATACTCTATGTAATTTTATATCCAAAAATTTACATGATATATGACTTTTTCGGATGTAAAATTTCGAAATTTTTTGACATTTTCCTAATAAAATGATGAAAATTATATTGAGAAATTTGTATCGCAAAAATAATAAATGTTAATGAAATAATTGAATTTTTTTTTTTTTAAATGCGAGTTAGACGTCTTTTTAAAGGTTAACGTTTAACGTATTTTTAACTATTTTCGATATCTGTTTGAACTATTCGATATGCACATAATGTAGTTCTCGAAATAAATTTTGAGATGACATAAGCAATT